AATTCAATTTTAGCAATGACTTGAATAAAAGTGATCTAAAAAATTGGAAGGGCTAAATATTAAGTATATGTATTTATACCACTAAGATAGCAATAAATTAAAGAATTTTTTTTAAAGACCTCAACCTAGGAAAGCAAAATTTACAAGCTAATTATGCCGGAGTAATAGGAATACCAACCAATAAGGTAACCAGAATAATAAACTAAAAAAGTAAATCAAAAATATGTGGGAGATGCTTGGATGCAGTACTACAAAATGACATCAAAAACAAGTTTTTAAGTACAAAGATGTTAATGATGTAATAAGAGTCAACAAATCAGTTCTGTTGCTATGGAATATGCCCATTAATCATAGGAATCCTGAACCTAAACCACCAAAGTTATTACCTTTAGAGAAAAAAAAAAAAAAAGCAGCAGCTACCAAAATCTGGAAAAGCAGGAATGTTTCAAATGTAAGATTTATCAAAATTTGATGCAACTGTCCCCAACAAAGGGGCTATCTTACCTAATCTCTAGTTTCTATTGGCTAAAAAATATACTGAATACTTTGCAGTATTACAAACCTAGTAGGCTAGCAGTAAAGTCTCATTTCTATTGCTCTTCTCATCTTCAGATATTACAACCACTTAATCAAAACTCACCAGACATCCTAAATTACCCACTATATTAAAAAACTAGCACAAATATCCAAGAGTTGAGAAGGCACAGAGGTTTGTTACTTGCATATCATAGACATTCTTCATTTAAAAGCATCTAGTAATGTTTCTTCACCAAAGAGAATATATTTCTAGGGACAAGCTCATTTTAACAATAATTTCTTTAGACACTGAATATCCCAGAGTGATGAACACTTCTCCTGCATTTAATTAACACAATACAAACTCTATTTCAAATTAGTTATTTAAACACACTCCTTAACTGCATTAAACAAAATGTCCCCTATGATTTTCATCCCTAGATGAAAGTCCTGGAGTTAGAGCAGCCCAATGTGATGTGTGCATAATAAGGCAGTACACAATGATTTCATGTTCTTAGGCTATAACACAATACTTAATCTTTAACTGGAATAAAATCCATGTAATTTACAATGGCTGCAATATTTAAAGACATAATAAAATGAATATTTATATACCCTAAAACTCTACATATTCATAGTGTGGGGAAATTTTAAAACAAAAATTGCCTCATTAATCCAAATAAAAACTGCTTAAGAATATACTCTGAAGTAAAATTACACACATTCATGCTGGAGACAGGATCATATCATGAAAGAGTTTTACCAGCTATCCAAAGCTCAACTTTCTTTACCTCTGGGAAAACCTAAGCTCAAATTCAAGTGACAACTTTTCTCTTAAAAAACGAAACAAGGGGCTGGAGAGATGGCTCAGCAGTTAAGACCACTGGCTGTTCTTGTAGAAGACCAAGGTTCGAATCCTAGGACCTACATGACAGCTAATAACCATCTGCAACTCCATTTCCAGGGAATCTGACACCTTTTTATTCAAGGGCACTGCACCACAGGGGTGCGCTTACATACATGCAGGCATAACTCATACACATAAAATAATCTTTTTAAAAAGCCAAAAACAACCAAAACTACACAGATCACAATTAAGAAACAGGTGACTAGTTGGACCAATTAATAAGTAGAACTACAGATTCTCCTAGGAACAGATAAAGTATTGACTGCTAAGTTCTATATTAACACCAAAACAATAAGAAACTCCCTAATTCAGAAGGAACCAATTTCAGGGTTTTTTTTTTATTTTATGTGTATGAGTGTATTGCCTGCATGTATGTAAGTGCACCTGTGTTGTGCAATGCCCAGAGAGGTCAGAAGAGGGTGTCAGATCCCCTGGAAGTGGAGTTATGGATGACTGTTAGCCGCCATGTGGGTGCTGGTATTCAAACCCAGATCTTCTGCAAGAACAGCCAGTGCTCTTAATTCCTGAGCCATCTCTCCAGTCCCTCAAAGAGCTATTTTTAATTACCCATTAAAGATTGTAACAAAGGGGAAAAAAATACAACTAAATCGAAGGTTGAAACAACCATACCAGAAAGAGCCTTAAGTCCGGCAGGAATGTCACTGCGTTGGCCCAACTCCCCTCAACATCTCCAAGAGAAAAAGTTGAGGCTGGAAGCAGCCCTGCAGCATGTCCTACAGCCAAGCTCATCCTTCTACCAGGCTGTCAGAAGACAGTATGATCATTCCCGTTAACATCTTACAGATGACACCTTACAAAAATGGCTGCAGTCTAGTCTTACACTACACTAGCATCTAACGACTGTTATGAATGAATACAGTTTAACAGAGTTACTAGCTAAGTCTGCTGTATAATACTTTATTTAAATTAAAGAAATCCATCTCTCTCACAAAGTGATAAAATGATAAAATGGGGGGGGAGAGGCAGGGCAGGTTTCATTTTAGATCAGCTTACTCTGTAATTTCATCATTTTCTAAGTGAAATATAACCATATAGAATCATTGTCACCTCTGAAGATGATTTTATACTTAAGCTTTTTTAAAATATTTTATTATTTTTATTTTATGTGTATGAGTGTATTGTCTGCAAGTATGTGAGTGCACCCATGTCGTGCAATGCCTTCAGATTCCCCTGGAACTGTAGTTAAGGATGGTTTATAGTCGCCATGTGGGTGCTGAGAATCGAACCCGGGTCCTCTGAAAGAGCAGTCAGTGCTCTTAACCACTGTGCCATACTTAGGCTTTAAAAAAAAAAAAAATCAAATCCAGCTGGGCATGGTGGCGCACGCCTTTAATCCCAGCACTCGGGAGGCAGAGGCAGGCGGATCCTCTGTGAGTTCGTGGCCAGCCTGGTCTACAGAGTGAGTTCCAGGCAGCTGGAGACACAGGGAGACTCTGTCTCAAAAAAGACCAAAAAAATAAAATAAAATAAGTAAAATCCAGAGTTTGAAAAATAACTTAAGATCTTTATTTCTAGTATTTAAAGCTTGTGTTCAATGTGCAAAACCCTTGCTATTTATTACAAATGCTGCTTTTAAGCAAAGCCATTTAAGAAAGTCATTTAATATACTACCTAAAATAGATTAAAATTTTTAAATTAAAATTTGCTTAGAACAAAATATTAAATCTCAGCTGACAGAAACAATGCTATCCATTACAAATTATGAATGCTGAGCATATCTTTAAAAAGCAAGCACAGCATTCAGAACTGTTATTAATAAGATGTGTTGCAGCCATTGACATAAGTCATTCCCTTTATTTGGCTAAGTATTTAAAATAGGACAGTGTCTCTGGATGCCAAGAAGGCAAAATTTTCTTAATATAAAAATGCTAACTACATTCTGGATCATAGACGATTTGTTGAATGCAGTTAACTAATACTACTGGATAACACTCTACTGAAATATTTTCTTAAATTGTATGTAAAGGTTGAAAAGTGAATGGCATGTAAACCAGACTGAAATTTATTAAGGAACAATCTAAAGTCATGTCTAGCCTTCTAAAAGAATCAGAATGATTTGGAACGTATCAGCTTCCTCATCAACCTTTCAACTTTATGACTTTTTTTAGACCACAGTTACTCTCAGCAAAGCCCCAACTGATCAAAACAAAACAATGATGCAGGTGTTATTATTCACTGGCTTATAGGATGTCAACTAGGCTAGTAAATGCTGTCTGCATAGTATTTCTGCATACTACAAACTGACAGGCTGAATTTCAGTCTGTCTTCCACCCTTCACTTATGGTTTTGGAAGTTAAGAGCTGAGAATCTTACGATTCTCAAAAACATAGGAAAAGCTCTAAAAATTAACAATAAGAAAGCCTCACATAAATGAAAAACTCAAAATGAATATGAGAGAATAGGCTGGATGAAGAGAACCTTCATTTAAGATTGTAGGATTACGTGTGTTACATACCCACAACAAACGTACACTGCAATCAAACCGTAAGTTGCAGTTAAGCTCAAAGTAAGCTGAGAAAGAAAAGATATAGGAGTGCAATTTTCTCTAGAATTTTCTAACATTTGGTGAAGGGAAAGACCAAATCTGGTCCAGGTCAACAATTTGGCAGCCCAATATATTCAGATGCACCCTGTGCTCATGGAGCACATTCAGCAAAAACAATCTGATTTCTAATACGATGATTAATCATAATTCTCTTGTCTCCGGCCATCTCAGACGCCAGAACCACATTTCCCCAATACTGAAACGACCAACGTCTTTGCAAATTCCTAAGACTACTACATACTATCAGATCAGACTGTACGCAGTCTGATCAATGCTTTGCAACTAGCAAGTGTGCCACCAACGTAACGTGCTTTGCAGCACATTTTAGTAGCATACAAGCCACCAAGGCAACGAGGGTTCTTTTTTTTTTTTTAACCCATCGCTTCAATCAGTTCTGTCGACTCCAGAAGCTTTCCAGAAGCATTGGCTCCGCTGGACACCTAGGTCTTCCTCCAAATACCAAACTACACAACGGCTCCACATAACACGCACTGTACCTCATCTCATCGGTACCCAGACACGGGTACCACCTGGATCAACAGAGTTGGACTGTCAGATCCCAGATGTTTCCTGGTATGCCCGGCGCACCAGGGCAGCTGAACCCCTCCCAGGTATTTTGAGGGGGAGGGGAGTTAACCTTCGCACTCGATCAGGCGACGGATCTCCATAGTAAAGCCCTTTTCCCTGTGAGAAGACGCAGATGGCCATTACAAAGAAAATACTACCATCCTAGGACCTTTGCCACAAAGAAGAGCAGAAGAGGAGATGGCCTTCTCTAGGCAAAAACAAAATAAAAAAATAACTCTGGTCTGCGGTGGGGGACGGAGCTGGATTAGGAAAGCCAGCTCCTGGTGGCAATTCCTGGAAGCCAATTCCTGGTGGCTAGAAACCGGGCTCAGTTTTCCCCAACAGCAAAATGGGAAGCCTGGACGCCGCCCCTCCCCCTCCCCCGAAGAGCCGGCCACAGCCGGGCCGACAGGGAGGACGCGGGTCCCCAGCCGGATCGCTCACCTGGCTTCACCGTCTTCAGACGGATGGGCTCGCGGAAGTGGCGGATGACAGCCAGCGTGTCCCGGTTGGTGAGCCCGCTGACCGGCGTCCCGTTCACCTCTAGCAGCACATCGCCCGGGCTGGGCGCTTTGCCAGACACCACGCAGCAGGTGCCGCCGCCGCCGCCGCCGGGCTCTTCGCGGAGCCGCCCCAGGTAGGGGAACTCGCCGCGCTCTGCGCCGCCGCGGATCTCCGTGCCCAAGTCGCCTGGGGGCCCGGCCCAGGACACCGCGCACTCCTGCACCTTGCTGAGCCAGTGCTTCTTCTTCTTCAGCGTCTTCGACATCCCGACCCTCGCTGCACCATGAGGAGCCCCCGCGCGGGCGGCAGCGAAGCC